GTCTTTCTCAGTCATATAAGCCAATCTCTTGTGTCATAGTTCAGTAGCTTCCTCATCTCTAATAACATTCATATCATCATTAAATAATTTAGCACGCATGACATATAAAGAAGAACACTTCCCTCCTTTTTTCACTACCATAGAACCCTTTGATAGCTTTCACATATCATTTTTTAATGTGTTACAAAATCCTTTATCATCAAGTCTTCTAACCGAGATTAAATTCAAGCGAAAGTCGTGAACATGCTCCATATTTTTCAAAACTAGTGTTACTCTAGCATGAGTCTCTAAGCACATATCTCTAATACTAATCATTTTGAACGACTCATTATTACCAAACCTTATCGTCCAAAAATCACCAAGCGTGTATGAGCTAAAAAACTCCATGTGAGATGTAGCATGTACCGAAGCTCCACTATCAACCACCTAACTATGCTAATGAAATGCTATGTTAACTTCATCATTATCATATGTAATCAAAAACTCATTAGTTGCATTAACTCGATCTTCATCACTATCATTGTCATTCTGTTTGGTTTTGTTCTTCTTATTGTCTTTCTTTAATTTTTTATAATATTTTTTGATGTGACCTATATCACCATAATGATAACACTCCATATTTACAAACTTATCTTTGGAATTTTTTCTCGCTCTTGCCTTTGCTTTTTTGAACCCTTACTTTTACTCCTCCCCTTTTCTATAGTAACTAGCATATCGACTCGGGAAGAAAAATTTTGAGTCTTCCTTCGACCTCTTCATTGAAAACCTCATTTCTATCATAAGTCAAGGTCATCTTCCCATCGTGAGCGTAATTGTAGTGTGATGTACGAAATGTCTCTCAAGAATTTAGTAATGAGCCAAACAAATACAACCCAAGGATCTCATCATCAATTTCTATGTTCATGGCTTTCATTTGCTGAATAATTCCCACATACTCATTAATGTGATTAGCTATAGAAGTTCTATCTTTATACCTGTAATTTATCCACTACTTAATCAAGTACATCTTGTTATTTTCTTTTTTTTTTTGGCAAAGAGATCTTCCAAACTTCATAAATTTTTAGCATCCACCTCTTTGCATATGATTAGAAACATTATCATTAATGTACCGATGAATAAAAGCCCAAAGTTATTCATTCTCAAACTTCAATCCTCATTTGTTTTTGTCTTAGGTTTTTAATGTTACTCTCCATATTATTCAAGTTGAAAATAAACAACCAAGCTCGATACCACTTGTTGGGCAAAAAACACAAAAAACACAATGAAACCTCTTTGCCTTTGCTTAAACAATTAAACGGACTACAATCAAATACCCATGCCAAAATAAGTAACTAATAATCTAAAAAATAAAATAATAATCACATAAGGAACACATAAATTTTACATTGAAAACCTCCTCAATTTGAGAAGGAAAAAACCATAGAGACCGAGTCCACAATAACTTCCACTATCAATAACATGATAAGGTTGTACTTTTCTATATATTGTGCAAGTATGTTACATAGTATATATACAAGTATGATGATAAGCATGAAGGTAGTTTTAATGGGTTACAACTCTATCACATAACGCCGAAGTAACATAGTATAACTCTATTATTATCCTTAAAACTCTTATCGTTATCACCCTTTCGCAAGTTGTTCGTGGGTTGGAATAATGCATAACTTATTTTTGAACTTATGAAACAGAGCTCTGGATAATGACTTAGTTAGAACATCTATAATTTGATCAGCAGTAGATAGGTAACATACTTATAGTGTGCCTTGTCCGACTTTATCTCACACAAAATAAAAATTAATCTCGAGATGCTTGGATCGAGAGTGAAAAATTAAAGTGGTTATGAGATAAGTTGTATAAACATTATCACACTAGATTATGGATGGGTTAGAGCATAGCATACCAATTTCTTGGAGGAGAGACTATCCAATCAACTTCTACACAGGTGGTAGCCAACGCGCGATATTTAGCTTCAATAGATAAGTGAGTAACCATGTGTTATTTTTTAGATCGCTAGGAGATAAGGTTTTTACCAAGGTATATGGAAAAACCAAATGTACTTTTATGATCATCTAGATCACCACCCCAATTAACATCTCGTGTAGGCATTGATTGATAGAAGAGAAGATTTATGGATGAAAAACCTATGATCCTTGGTATCCCGAATGTAGTAGAGGATCCTCTTAATAGCTACCTAATGGGTTTTAGTGGGGACATGCATATATTGTGCCACTTTATTTACGAGTAAGCTAAGTCTGGTATGATAATGCCCGGATATTACAATCCTCCTATAATGCTCTAGTAGAGGAATAGGTCTATAAATGGAGTACCCGAATTCGTCGCTTACCTTTATATTTGGACATACAGGGGTACTCATACCTTTAGCTCGATGCATGTTGGACCGGATTAGGAGTTCAGTAGCATACTTACATTGAGAAAGGAATAGACCATCGGACTATCATCGTGCTTCTATTCCAATAAAGTAATGTAACGAGCCTAAGTGCTTAATTGAAAAGGTACTTTTCAAGGCTGAAATTATTGAGTTAAGCATCCGTTTATTGCTTCTCGTTAGTAGTAGATCATCAACATACACTAAGCAAAATATGATGTCTTTACCACGTTTGTTGAAGAACATAAAGACATCCGTTTAGGAAGCAATGAATCCTAAAGACAAGAAAGTATCTCGAAGACATTTGAACCATTGGTGAGGTGTCCGTTTCTAGCCATAAAACGACCGTCTTAGCTTACAAACATGAGTCGGTCTCTATGGATCAATAAAACCCGATGGCTACTTCATATAGACCTCTTCATCTAAAAATCTATGGAGAAACACATTAGACATGTCCAACTCGCTCTATTGGCTAGCCAAGTGAGACAACAAGGGAAAGTATCATTCGAAGGGTTATCGGTTTTATCATAAGGTCAGTAGGTGTTGTTAAAATCGATACTCGAATGTTGGTTGAAACCTCCGGCTACTAGTCTTGCCTTATACCTATCCGCAGTCCCATCGGTCTTAGTCTCGACCTTGTATACCCATTTGTTCTTAATCACGTTATATGAGGGGAGGTGTGGAATAAGGTCCCATATGTTATTTTGTGTTAGTGTCTTCATTTCAGCAGTCATGGCGATTGCTAATGGGGTTGTGATTTTGCCTAAGAGAATGTGTTAGCTTCGAGAGAGGGAACCAATGTGGAAAAGATGCTTGGTTTTAGGTTGCTAATTTTAATATGGGTGAGAGCTGGTTTTGGGTTTTCCGAGAAAGTATTTTTAGTGTTGGGTAGCTTGTAGTGACTAAGATCACGAGTTAAGCTCACATGGTGAGGGTCCGGTGGTTGAGGAGCTGAACTTAGTGGTCCGGTTTGCTTGGTTTCGTTGGTGGTCTTGGTGACACGAGTAGTGGCGAGAGACGAGGAGGAGTGTGGGATTGGATATGGCATGTTTGTGTGTGTTTAAGGGCTTGTCTATGTGATAGAGATAGGTGTCTATGGGTTGGTTAACTATTGCTGAAAAAATGTATAGTTGCATGTTTTTTGGTAAAGAGGGAGTCCGTGGTGTTAATGAAACGGGTATTAGCGGTTCAAATTCGTGTACGTGGTCTATGCTCGTGTGGTTGCACTATTAGATGATGGATTCCAACTAATAGTGGTTACAACGAGGAATAATTTCGTTGTAATAGAAGGTGATTTAATAATCACCTGGATTTGAAATACGATAGACTAGCTAATACCTAGTGGTACCCGAATTAAAATAGATAAGTATGGTGGGAAGTCGAAAAAGCATTGCATATCACGTGCATTACCCCACTTACCGAGCTTCGGCTCACCCCATTGTTATTTTTATGTTGTGACAGGAAAAGAAAAAAATAGTAAAGATGCGATCAAATCCTCCTAAGAGGCTCATGTGTAACGTGGAATACCGAAACTTGTTTTGTTTGTAATTTGAGGGTATGAAATCTATAAAGAATTAACCACTTATTTGAAATATTTGTTACTCGTAATTAGTTGTGTCATGTAAAAATTTATTATATGTACTTTTGTTATGTGATGTGCTAGTAATTTTTTTAAGTACACCATACGGGAAATGATTAGAGTTTAGGTAGTATCGGCGTGACGTGCTCGGCCTAGCCACTCCTATTTGGGTAATAGAGAGTGAACTAGGGTGGGAGCGTCACAACTTTCATATAAATATCATTTCAAACGAACAAATAAACTATAATAACATTTATTAAATACATGCATGTGAACTTTTTTCATATATTTTGCCGAGCTAATGAGATAACAAAATATAATTGCATCCATTATAGGAGAATATGTTTCATCATAGTTAATGTCAATTCTTTGACAAAAATCTTGTATTAAAAGTCTTGTTTTGTATCTTACAATCTCATCTTTCTTATTTTGTTTTCATATAAATACACATTTATATCCCATTAGCTTAATAGCTTCGGGTGTTTTAATTATGGGTTCAAAAAACTATTTATTTGTAAGAGAACATAATTCTGCTTAGAATGCTTTTTTTCATTTAGGCCTTTATGTTGACATTCTTCAATAAATTTAGGCTTAAGGTCCTTATTTTCATTCAAAATATCAACTGAAACATTATATGTAAAAATCTTACCGATAAATGTTTTTTTCGATCTTATTTTCTCCCTATATTGACATAATTTATCAAAGTTTCTTCATTTTTCTCAAGCATTTGGATTTCTTCTAGAAGCTATTATTAGAAATATCTTGGGCCGTTTTATGAATATTTCTAATCCATTGAATCATCTTCACTGGTCTTCAATCATGCACGAGGATTAGTTATAAGAGTGGATTGAATTTCTTAATATTAGTCCCTCTGCCCGATTCTGTATTTGATTTATTAGAACTGTACGATCTTTTGGAAATCACCAGCAGACTTCCAACATGATTACTGATCCTGAAGATGGTCTTGAATTTGTTTCTGCCTTTAACAGCATTAAATCAGCTCCAAGGACTAATCGTTTGACGGTTATTCAATATCTAGGTGAGTTTTTGGCTCATCCACAATAATTTATTCCATTGGCGGTTGGTTTGCGTCTTTGGCTGAGGCTTTTTCTTTGAGACAAACTTGAAAATGCCTATTTTATGAGAATACTAGAGACTAAAAATCAATTCTTAAGACAAGGAAAAACTATTTCATAATGAAATCCAATATGATAGAAGAGAACTTCAAACTTTACTACGAATCAATGTCCAGTGTTATTTTTGTTGAATATTGATTATTGGACAGTATCTCTCTCCTTGATCAAGATAATTTTTGTTTGTCTCGGAAGTAGCACAATAATGTTTTATGTGATTTTGATATATCTCACCACTTGTCTCATTCAATCCATGCCATGGTCCCAATAATGTTTTCTTCTGATCCAGACCCTTTTTTCTTGAACACAATAAAAAAAAAATTAATGCATTAAAAATATCAAAATAATTTCTTTTCTTTAAAATATTCTTAGTGTCCTAGTAATTTTATTTGAGGAAATTCAAATCATAAAATTGTCAATCCACCTAAACAAGAAATTTCTGATTAGTTTGCTCACCTTTAACGTCCTCCTGATAGCTCTGCTGTAAAGGGGTCTTTCTCTGTAAGCAAATTTTCAATTCTTTTCTCCACAGGAGGCCCTTTGTTTATAAAAGCATTGCCAGCCGTTGTAACTGCGCTGCCCAAATCGGTACAGGCAGAGTGAAAGGCTATCCTCAGCTTCTCAAACTCCTTCTCTCTTAGATCTTGTTGGGCTTTTAAATGACGCATTTCCTCGTTTTTCAAAAATAATTAATGCTTAAGCTGTCGTATTTCCTCGTCTCTCGATCGTAACTGGTTCACAAGGCCATCTATTTCGTTTTCAACTGCAGATGGTTGCTGCTTAAGGGAATTTTCTTCTGCTGAAACATTGTCCTTCTGTTCTTCATAAGAAATAATGCTTTTAGACATAGTGTCCTGTTCAAGAACCTGGAAAAATGTATAATTGAAACAGGCAGTTCAGTAATAAAACAAGAGACTATTTTTAGCTGTAATCAAGGAGAGATGAAAATGTCTTCAAAATTTTGGGACACAAAAACAATCCGCAGGACCTAGAAATCGATGTTTTATTCCAAAACTAGTTGATTATGCACACACTCCATGGTATATTATGATTCCTAAAAATTGTAATAAAAATTAATCATAAATATGAACATACCACGAAACTAGTATATAAAAATTAAAATGCATATATGTAAATTATTGAAAAATATAGAAAAAATTTGAGTTATGGATGAAGCAGTTTTTTCCCGTACCTGATCAGCATCTGTTCCGTTTCGCATATCCTTTTCTTTTCTCAGATTCTTTTTTATCCATGAAAGCATCTTCATCTTCCAAAATTGGACTGTCTACTATGATGGCTAAAAAAGACGAGGTAAATTGCTCACAAAGAACCAAATTCATGTAAAAATAAAAGCTAAAAACATTGAGGGTGTGTTCTTCAAGCCACAGGAGAATTCCAAGAACCACTCAAAGATATCTACTTTCAGGCTTTTAGAAGATTGGAGAGGATTAGATGAAATTCGCATTAAGAAGCTTAAAAGAAGAAAAACATGCTTGAGAAAATAAACGAGTAGATGTGCTGATTAATAACGACTATGGTAAAAGCCCAGGAGGATGGAGCAGAACCTCTTTCTTGGTTGTATGAATTGTATACAAGTTTGAAGGAGTCCGTGACTCTTCAGATTTGGTTTTGGAAATAAATAAATAAATGAATAAAAATTTATGGATGAATGTATGTGTAAAAAAGAAGACAATATTATAAATCAGTACTTACAATTTAAAAAAAAATGAAGTAATTAGTCTTTTTTGTTTTAAAAATTAACTAATTAATCTCTATGTTTTTAAATATTCTTGTAATCGTTATAAAATAAATAGAAATAATAGGAGCATTGAAGAAAAGGATGACAAGAAAATGAAACCACTATAATATGAATATAAGTGATAAGAACTTCAAAGTTTCTCTTATTCTCTCGAGGAAACTTATACACCAACTAATGAACAATCAAGCCTATTTATAGGCTTTAAAATTGAGGAGAGAATTGGAAGAGACTATGAATAATCAACTCGCATCACCCTTTAAATTTTTCATATTGAATGATGAATTGAATCACATTAAGAATCATGAGTATTGGGATATGAAAAGTGGATGAACATGATGATGGACATTCATTGTTTCATAACACTCCCCTCGAATGTCCATTGTACAAGCAACATGTCTTGTTAAAACCTTACTAGGAAAAAAACCCGAGTGGGAAAAAAACCCTAGTGAAGGAAAAAGAGTACAATATTTCTTGCACACATTAATCCTCATTTTTGTCTCCCCTTTTGAAGACATTCTTTAAGATCTCTAAGATGATGTATTCCAATCTTGTGAATCATCTTCTCAAAAGTTAGGATAGGTAACACATCGGTGAACAAATCTACTTGGATTGTCACTTTAATGTATTCATCCTTCAATAGAACAATGCAAGCAGCATTATCCTTATATGATATTGTTGGAACTTCTTTTACCGATAGATAAACCGAATGTCTCTCGGATATGATGGATTGTTGATCTTAGACAAACACATTCTCGACTTGCCTCGTGAATTGATATTTTTGCATAATTTGAAGATGTGGCAATTATAGTTTGCTTCGTAGAACTCCAAGATATAGCTGCAACTCCATATGTAAATATATAGCCGATTGTGATCGAGCTTTGTGTGGATCGGATAAATAACTCGCATCCGCATAACCAATTAATATTGTCTTTGATTTATTGGAGTAATATAAGCTCATATCAATTATTCCTCGAAGATAACGTAGTATATATTTAACTTTGTTTCAATGTCTTCGTATTGAAACAAAATTATGGCTTGCTAATAAATTTATAGAAGAGACTATATTAGGTTGAGTATTATTAGCAAGATATATCAATGCACTAGTGGCACTAAGATATGGTACTTCGAGATCAAGTAGTTTTTAGTTATCTTCGAGGTCGGAAAAGGTCTTTTTGGATATCAAGTGAACAAACTACCATTGAGCTAGTCAATGAATGATGTTTATATAGAATCATTGTAGAGCCTTTTTCTATACAAATTGATTGATCAATAAAAATCTCATTCTCTTAGTGCTCAAACTGCGAGTCGAGATAGCATTTTATTTTCCCAAGGTATTCACATCAAACTCTCTTTTTAGATAACTTATAACACTTAAAATCTCTTCGGGAGTTTCAATAATATTTAAGTTATCAACATATACAATAAACTCCTTTTCAAATAAAAACATATGAACAAATAGGGTTATTTTTTTATAACTTTCTTTCAATAATTATTGAAGTGATTATATCACATGCACACGGGTTAGTAATAAACAATATATATAAAAATAAAATATAAAGAGTATAAATTGAATTTCTAAAAAATAAAATAATAAAACAAATACTAATAATCCTAATAGAGATTTCGATAATTTAATTAAATTCTTTTCTCGAGAATATGAATTACATGCTTCGACATGTCAAGTCCTTCTAGTACTTTCATACTTATTTCATTTCAAATGAACAAATAAACCGTGATCACATTCATTAAAGGCATGCATATGAATGTTTTTCATACATTTTTTTATGCTAATGAGATAACAACGGACAATTGCATCCACTATAGGAGAATATGTTTCCTCATAGTCAATGTCAATTCTTTACGGAAAATTTTGTGTTAAAAGTTTTGCTTTGTATCTTATAATCTCATCTTTCTTATTTCATTTTCGCATAAATACATATTTGTATCCCACTAGCTTAACATCTTCGGGTGTTTTAGCTATGGGTTCAAAAAACTACTCTTTTATAAGAGAACATAATTCTGCCTAGATTGCTCTTTTCATTTAGGTCAATCATCTTTATGTCGACATTCTTCAATAATTTAAACTCGGGATCCTTATTTTCATCCATAATATCAATTGTAATATTATGTGCAAAAATCTTATCAATAGATATTTCTTTTCGGTCCTATTTTCTCCCCGCATTGATATAATTTATCAAAATCTCTTGATTTTTCTCAAGTATTTGGACTTCTTCCGGAAGCCTATTATCATAAATATATTGGACCATTTTGTAAATATTTTTATCTTATCCTTTTCTTTGAGGGATTTTTATCTTTAGTACCAATCAATCTTTCACACTTCGAGCGTGCTTTAGATTTATTAGCTATAACATTAATAGATCGTCATTCCGGGATATCAATTCTAATATGAGCACTCTCAATGGGGACATGCATTATAGTTACTCATTTAGGATCCGAGAATGCATCTAGTAGTTGATTTGTAATACCTTTTAAATGAATTATCTTTTGAACTTCGGTTCACATTATTTTGTACGAGATTCAATATGATATAAAGATAGAGTACTTCATGTAATCTTATTTTTCAACATTTCCAATCGCTTATTTTGCTTATTCTCTCCCCCTAATGTTGAAAAAACTATTTCATCAAAATGATAGTCGATAAATCGAGCTATAAAAATTTCCTCTTGTTCATGAATCAAAAGATAGAAGAGGATTCAAATCCAACATATATTCTTAATCTCCTTTAAGTGCTCATTTATCTCGTTACGGAGGAGCACTACGGATATGTATTACAATGCTAAAAATTTTTAAATAAAAAAATATTTGACTTATGACCATAAATCAACCGAAGAGGAGAAAATTTCGATAACTTATGGGTCCGATGCAAATAAATGTGATCTGCATGCATGTCCCCAAATATAAACGAAGAGTTTTATTTTTAAATAATAGTTTAGCTATCAATTGGAGCTTTTTGATAAATGATTTTGCTAAACCTTTTTTGAGTATGAACATGAGCAATCGGATGTTCAACCTTTATTTTAATAGCGAATCAATAATAATTTAATGCTTGAGAAATAAATTCATTAGCATTATCAAGGTGACTTGTTTTAATGACATAATTTGAAAATTATGCTAAAAATCAAATTATTTGCTAGCAATCTCGAAAATGTCGGGTTTCGAGTAGATAATAAGTATATATGTGACCATCTTGTAGATGTATTTATCAACATCATAAAATATTTAAATTATCCACATGGTGGATGAATTGATCCACATATATCACCTTAAATATATTCTAAAATACTGGAGATTCAATCTCAATTTTACTCGATGATGACTTAATCATTAATTTACCTTGGCAACATGCAAAACATGAAAGTTCATTAAATTAAAGAATCTTCGGCTCTTTAAAATTTTTTAATAATTTTTTTCGCATCATGAAAGACCCAAGATAGCACAACTTGTTATATCACATAATAAAAGTATTTGAATTAGTAAACTTCGGTTTATTACAATCTTTGTTTCAATCATTTCAATGTTTGTAATAAAGATCGAAGAGAAAACGGATAAATTTTTTTATAGATATTTTCTACCCGATATAATGATTATAACATATAAGTATTCACATTTGCTATCTTGATATGATATCAAATCGGATGAGTATCTTTGAAACTCAACAAATTTCTATGAGACTTTGAAGAGAATAGTACATCATTCATAATAAATTTATCCTTTCGGATAATAACATATTTGCACTTCTAGAGCCTTTAAATTAGTCACTTCAAGTAATAATATATCGACTCTTCTAGAGCCTTTAAACATTTTCTCTTCAAGTAATAATTTATTCACTCTTCTAGAGCTTCAAAAATTTGTCTTTTCAAGTTATGATATAATCGCTCTTCTAGAGCC